TTATCGTCAAAGCTGTACTCAAAATGTGACTGGAGCTTTATTATAATATTATAGAAAAGTGTCAGTTTGGTTATATGGTAAGGTTTACAATGTCATTTGCATTTTGTCAGTCATGAAATTCAACAGCCATGCAGAAATTGGGTTTAAAAACAGACTATAAAATCACACAGGTTTTTATATTGTTAGTGGTTTGAGAGAGGGAGGTTAAAATGTGATGTTAAAGACAAGAAAAGTGTTTGCTTTAACTGGTACAATGATGTCAAACTTATTTGCATTGTGGCATTATTTTCATGACAACTATGCCCAAGATCTACACTACTGTATTGCAATATACACACATTACACTGTATACTTAATACCATTCAAAAGGTTTAAAAAAATTCTTTGATGAATAGAAACTTCAAAAGAACAGCATTTTTTAAAAACAAATTATAGTATTGAGAATTAGATTTGTTTTTGCATTACAGCACTTACAATTGAGGGAGAGCTTGCTTTTAATTTGAATTAAAATGTCAATTAGGAAAAATCTTAACTGTGCTAAAAATAGGCTTCATTTGCTTTATAAAAATATATATATAATTATTTTTTTTCTTTGATTTTGTGACATGACCTATACATGTTGACAGGTTTCTTGAGAAACTTTAAATCAGACTTCTACAGCCTTTTGAATTTTTGATCAATCGGTCACTCACCGGTAATCTTGATAACGGCGCTTTGGATGGAGTCGTCTGACTGTAGCCGACCGGGGTGGAGGCATTACCCATGGAGGTCATGGGAGAGCCCGTGGGCTGACCGGAGGAGTTCAGAGGTAAGCTAGAGGGAGGGAGAGGTGTGCCGCTAGGGGTGGTGCAGGCAGTTGGAGAGGAGGTGCCAGGGACGCTTGGGGCTGCCATGGGGTCAGATGTGACATCAGACTGGGCAGAGGGCGGACCAGAGCCCAGGTCCATGAAAAGCGAGCGCAGTTTTTTATCCAGAGCCTGAATGTCATCAACGCCCTTTCCCTGTGGATCGCTGTCACATTCTACACAATGTGCGTGGCTCTGATTGGGCACGGTGGAGGTTTGAGGTTGGCTTTGCACGGGTGTGGGCTGCACGACTGGTGTATTGGTGGTAACCGGCTGGAGGGTGGGCACTTGTGACTGAGCAGCCGAGGTGGGAATGACCGTGGTGGTGGATGGTGCGAGCTGCGGCGTCTGGATGGCTGTGGTGGGAATGACCGGTGGTGTGAGCTGAGCTGAAGTGGAGGGGATGGGCGGCTGTTCACTACTGCCACCAGAAACAGATCCCATAGGAGTCGCGGAATGAGCGAGCAGGGCAGTAGTACAGGCAGGTGCAGGCATGGGGACTGAGGTTTGGGGGAAGGATGTGGCGGCAGGCACAGCTGGCATTGGCAGAGAGGAAGTGCTGGAAATAACACTGATGACGGTAGGTACAGTCTGACTTTGAGGCAGAGGGAGTTGCGAATGGGCTGGAGGGGAGGTCATGGCGGAGGCAGGAAGGGTAGGAGGAGGTGACGAAGACCCTGGAGGGTTTATGGAGACAGAGGTCACTTCAGAAGACACTGGGGGAGGGACCACTGGGGCGGTGCTAGAGGGCAAGGGTGCTGCGGTGGGAACCAGAGGGGGCATGGAGACATGAAGCATAGGCGGCGCAGTGCTGGGACCCGGGTCAAACCGGCCTTGACGCAATTCAGAAAACGCCTGCTGTAGACTGACTGCAGACGCTGACATAGAAAGCCCCAAGGCAGGCAGTGGAACTGACACAGCTGATAAAGAAGCAAA